TGTTTCCTTTAAAAAAAAGATCAATATTATGGATAGCAACAAATCCAACACTCTCTTCATCTCAATAATCAATCTAAAAAAAAAATCAATTTGCACCCTATATATTGTTAAAATGAGTACCCTCCAACAATGAATCTAAACTGACCGAATTTCAACATCTAGGCCTTTATAAATTTAAAATCACTTTTTTGTTTTTTAATGTTGCTACTCTAATGATAATAAAGTTATCTAAAAATTTGGCAAGAAAAAAGTATATTTTTAATCAATTGCTCAAAAAAGCCACAAACTAAAATGCACCACAGAAAAGAACCATCTTTCTAAGAAAGAAACAGAGGAGAGTACAGGTTTCTTTTTTTTTTCTTTTTTTTTTTGTTTCAGATAACACAAAAAGAACATTAACCATTTTAAGTTCTTCATCACAGGAAGGAGAAAGCAATCTCTTTTTCTTGCTCAAAGTAGATGGAAGCCTCAGAGCTGGACTGGTTCGTGAAATTTTCGGCAACTCCAAAAGTAATCCAAGAAGAAAACCTATGAGTAATCCAGGTACAAAATTCTCAGGCTTCAAACTGCTTGCAAGCCATGGTTCTTGTCTCTTTTCCTAGAGAGAGAAAGAGAATGAACAATCAACTAAGAGAAAGCGAGTTAGAGAGAGAATCAATCAATCAAGTATCAACTAAATGATGTTTAAGACGAATAAAAGATTACACAAAAAACCAAAACTTAGCACAGCGTACAGATTTAACATGAGGAGACGAACTCCTCCAAAACCCAAACATTGTTCGGTTACTGAAGCTGTGAGGGATGAACGCAGTTTGTGCATCTCTCTCTCTTAATTGTTCTTCCTCTCTCTCTCATCTCTCTTCACAAAACTCTCTTTCTCTCTCTGTATTACCTTTTCATGTGAATTTTTCGTAGCTTCCAATCTCTCTCTCTTATGGTGCAGAGTCTGCAGACTATGTTCAGTCGAAATTACCCACATGCTTTCAGTTAAAGACAGTTTCGCCCTTAGCCATTTAATATTTTATTTTTTATTTTTTATTTTTTTTTTAAATACCTATCAAGGCACGCTACTTGAATTGAGGTTAAAATGTTTAAACTTAAAAAAAAAAAAAAAAAAGGGAAAGGCGATTGAAACAAATGAAAATGCTTCGTAAAGGGAAAGGCGATTTTGGAGCCAAATAATAATTTGGGTCTATTTAAAAATAGAAAAATTTATATAAGATTGCAACCTCATATAAAAAAAACGTATTTTAATATTCAAAAAATCTTTTAATTGATAATCTCAACACCGAGATGTATGAATTTGACGAAAAAAAAGATTTCAGGTCTCAAAAATAATACATCTTGCAATACATTGTTTGGACGGTCAATTTTCAAAATTTTCATGTGATTATAAATCTACTTAATTTGAAAATGGATTCTCAACCCATCTTAAGAATTTTTTCACCAAAACTCTAATTTATGAAAAAAATTTGGAGATGAGCCTTATTGTCATTGTTTAAGTTTGCAACCTTATGCAAACAACACCCTTTAAATATTTATGACCAATAATTTAATCTCTTATGATTTACTTTCATACTTTTTGTTTTTCTTCTTTTACTAAAATGTTTTTCTTCTTTTACTAAAAACTATCGATACTGGGTTACTTTGCCTCCTTTTTTTTCTTCACAACAATTGTCCTTTTCTTTTCTTTTTTTAATTAAAAATGACGAAATCTGCAGATGTCAAAAGTTGAGCCATGCGCTAGAGGCACTTCGATATCTTCCTTAACCTAATATACCACGTTATCCTAATATACGACGTTTCTTTGAAGTTGAAGTGATCTTTTTTTTTTTTTTCTGTTTCCATTCACTCCTCTTTCATTATTTTGTCTTGATTCCTCTTTCTTCTTAACAAAATGCCTTAAAACTGATTTTAAAGTCGGCACTCCAAACACTCTTTATGTTTCAAACACTTGAAAGCATTCCATGTCTTGTTCAAGAACCCTGCCTCTCATATTTTTGGTGTCCAAGAACCTTGCCTTTTATCCCCCTGCCTTTGGTATCTCTTTCTAATATGTGTCAAGTGTATTACACATTTTTTAAAGTTGATTTTTTTTTTTTTTCTTATCAACAAAGAAAAAATCTTCTACCCGTAATAATAATAAAACTCAAGACATCATGTTGCGACACTCCACCAACTTCTCATTGTATCTTGAATCTATTCCATAAAAAATTTTAAATAGAACTGACGCAGTCTTCCAATTTTCCATGTGGCAAGTTTTGTTAGATGTACTAATTTCCTTCCATTTCAAATCAATGATTTTGGGATTCCTTTTATTTATATTAAATTGTATCCCTTTCGACATACTTGCCATCTATGATTCTATATAAAAAAGAAAAATATACAAAGAGACGATTTACTCATGGTATAAGAAGATCACAATCACTGTTGTCCGTCAAATTTCAAACCGGGTGGTTGTAAGAGTGTCATTAACTAAACTTAAAGTTAAAAAAAATATCAAACTTCGTGACACACCCCAAGCCATCCAATTTGACATCTAATGGCTAAAAATAATTGTGACTTCCTCGTAACAAAAATACATGGCCCCATAGCAAACAATCCCATATAAAAATATATCATCTCTGGTGCATGGTATATGGTACACCACAGGAGCAGTCCACAGCTCCAAATAACATATAATGGGTATTTGTGCAAACACAGCTAGTCTCCACCATTCATCACTGGGAACAAAGTGGTGGATGCTCCATGTGGGCTATAGGTCTATCAAATACCAAATACACAAAAGATGGGTTTATGCTCCTCTCTCTCTCTCTCTCTCC